GCGTTCACGCATCCGGCGAGGTGACGCTCGTTCGCTACTCAGGAAGCGAAATGGACTATCGGGGGCCACCGATAACGAGGAAATATACCCTTAGGTGCAGAATGACGTAGATCCGCATCTTCAATATCGGAAGTTTCGCCCGTGAACGTGCAACGTGTCGTCGATTAATAAGTCAATCTACATGCCCTATGGCGATATTGAATTTCAACTTGTGCGCTGTCGCGGCTTCTTCTTACAAGCCCTTACATAATAGGAAGGAAAACGGCAACGCGATATAATCGCGAAGGAAACTCGTGGGCCGCTTGGGGTTTTGCTTACATTAACGAGATGTCAAAAGGAACGGCGTGCACACAACGGTAAAATGTCAATGGATTATTCATAGATGCACGAACTGCGGACAGAAAAAAGTGTAATGTAACGTTCATTACGGACACTACCGTTCCGCTGTGACAGGATGTAATGGTTAGGGATCTTCGTTAATGACAAGTACACCGAGCGCCGTTTTTTAATGAGGACGTTTACATTAGAGGTGGACAATAACGATGATTACGACGGTGCCATATGCGGCATTGACGTTATAACCATCTTTATTAGCCATTTAATACTGCGCAAGCAGTTTTATGGCATTTGACATTTGTCCTATGATCACGCATTCCCGTTTTAACACACAGATGCCCGATGAAGAACGGATATTCTTTTTTCTACAGCGAATAGCCTTGCTCCAAATAGTACAAATAACGCTCTACTGATAATTATTCACTTTTGCCACATTAATAGACAAAAGCTCACCTCGAAGATCGTATTTATTACATTCCCAGAAGGTTGGAACGACAAGTTTGCACGATGACAGCATAATTATCCGAGGAAATGGCGGAAATGAGGAGCAGCGCCGCCTTAAAAGATTGGCGACGCAATTAATGGGACATCGCGAGCTGAGCGTGCATTTTCATAATGTCCGACATATGCACCGTATCAAACTTAATGTCGTACCTTAATCACACGGACACCAAGGACATTCCGAGCAAAATTTCTCTGCGCGCGCGGTATTACTCTTTTCGACTACCAATGAGATGGGACGTTTTACTGTTGTTCTTTTCGAACGTTACGCAAATTCAGTTAATATTATCTTGATGTCTCTGAGAAAGTGTTAGCACCTTATTTTCGGAATTTCGACACTGACCCTTTTCTAAAAAATTCCAATTACGTTACCAATTACATTTGGAAACGTAAAAATAAGGACTTAAAGTGTAAATTTTATATTTTCCTCATATAAAATTTAAATCTAACATTTTTTTTTAATTAGAATTAATTTACATTCTAATACTTTTCGATATAATTTTTGGAGCACTATTCCGAATTCTCTAGAAAATATCAAATTTCAGAAAAAATTCACTTATGGAGATTTAGAACTTAAAAAAATTCAGATTTTTAAAGATACTAAAGTTTTTTTGTTCAGATTTTTACGAAAAATTATTCATGCAATGATTGATCAACCATTGGAACTTTTTATCATTTCAACCTATTAATCGCGAAAAATCTTGAAACGTATCAAGAATTGTATATGTATATTACACATTATAAATGCAAATGTAAATGTGAATGAAGGCGAATGTAGATGTAAATGTAGACATAAGCGTGAATGCTAACTTCGTAGAGATGTATATATCTCATTAGACTTTATCATAAACATAACATTATTCTTATTATTCAAAAGTAGAAAAAAAGCTCATCAGAATTAATTTTTTTATAATATGGATAATTTTTTATGTCAAATGTATATAATACAACTCTCAAAATTCTCTCTGAGAAAACTGTTAACATTTCTTACTTTATTTCAATATAACACATGTGTATTGATATATCAAAGCAGGCAGTTCTTTTTTCAAAAAAGATTGCATTTGACACCTTCTAGGGTCAAACTTCACATACGGAGTTCAAAATCCGTTTCAGAGTATCATGTTACATGGGTATGACACAGGTGCGGCGCTTCGAGGCTGACCGGTATATTGAGTTCCACAAAAATTCCTAACGACGCCTCACCGTAAATGTCATTCTCCCTATCTCTTTTTCATCTTCTTATTCTGTCATTTACATATAGCCATTCAGAATCAGCGTTAAACTGTAGGTTGTGTATAATCCACGTGCGCAACACATGTATATGAAGAGAAGTCACCACGCTCAAGCACGAGTAATATAGGAGAACCCAGTTATCCGTCAGTTAGTAAAAAATTCTTTGTCAGACGTATGGATTGGCAAAGTTGTACTCACTTGCGGTTCAACAAGCAAATTTTGCTACTGTAGGATACACAGCAACCATCATAAATTCTGGAGATCAGATCAAATTCCGCAAAGCCTGATAGCTGACATGCACTGTCTTCCCATAAACGCGTAGTCTGGCGACACCACCGTTGGGGTAGAGGTTGAATCGCAAGTGAGTACAACTTGGCCAATCCGTACGTCTGACAAATAATTTTTTACTAACTGACGGATAACCAAGTTCTCCTATTACTCGTGCCCAAGCGTGGTGACTTCTCTTCATATACGCATGTGTTGTGCACGTGGATTATACATATTGTATATACACAACCTACAGTTTAACGCTGATTCTGAACGGCTATATTTTTTTAGAGAAATTCTCTTGGCAAGACATACTCTCGGTGGTTTGCCATTGCCTTCCGAGAGGAGAACGAACGAATATAATTTTTCTAGCTCTACCGGGAATCGAACCCGGGACCTTTGGCTCAATAGACTGGTGCGCTGTCTACTAGGCCACGCTCGTCCTCCTATCTTTCGCTCTCGCACGATGGGGGATTTTTGAGATATCGACTCGCGAAATATATCTGTCACTGTCATGACTTCGATAATTTCATCATAAAATCGCGCTTTGTTCGACACTTTTGTAAATATTCTTTTTACACGCTGGACATTTACAATTTTACACAAATATTTATATTACTCAATTTTGTATCTAGCTTTATTACGAAGACATCTATTCCACCGACATTTTTATTTGCTAAATTTATTTGTATAAAATTTTATTTCTCTGCAAGGGCTTGTTAAATATAGGTAACAGACGAGTTTACTATTCCAATTATAATGATGATGGGCATTATTACAGAGGAATGATGTGCATTTGACGCGGGTGCAATAAATCAATCACATATATCGGATCGTAATTTGCCTCTTGTTATCGTACTCCTAATTTGGCACGATCGTTTATATAGCGAGCAATGACTTGGGATAAATTGGAATAATCTGTGTATAATTAAAGTCAATATCATTAAGCTGCGCAATGCAAATTCAATAGACAAGCACGTAAAAGAAAAAAAACGCTACAGATCATTAAGAAGATTTAATATCTTTCCCTGTGGCCTTTGAACTGCGTTCTTAATGTACCATTTCTAAAGACAAGGTAAGCATTTTTTCACGGGAATAATAATCGACGCTGTAAATAAAAATACATGTCTTACATTGATTTCTCTTCGCTGTGTATGACTTAGCGCCTTACTGGCCCCCAGCGCGGTTCAATTAAGTCTTCTTTATTCGCTCAAAAATGTACATTACGCAGAACCGCAAGTACGAAACACGGTGTTTCATTAGAGTTACCGTACCGGTCGGGACGAAACGCGCGAGTGCGCGTCTGAAAAACCGACGTCGGAGACGAAAAGGAACGCGCAAACTCGTTCAGTGCAAAACTCTTGCAGCGAGCGCAGTCCTTGGGCGGCGCCCGGTCGCGAAGGTAGGCCACACCGATGCAAAATGCACTTGATTTACGTGCGAAAATAGCCAATTAACTGGCGTAATCGGCACGCGTCCCGTCGCGTCGCGTCCTCTCGACGCGCAGTCGCGGAAATATCCAACATCCAACTGCGCGTACGATCTATCGGGGTATAATGGGTGCTGCGTGCGAAAGTCCAGGCGCATTAACACGTAAAAAGGAAGCGAGAGAGGAACGACGATGACGGTGACGACGAATTTCTTCGCATCTCTCTGCGCGAAGGACGAGAACGGTGCAAAAACAACGGCGGCAGACTTGACGCGCGAAGCGACGGCGGCGCGCGGAATTCGAGAGCGCAACGAGCGTTATGCAACGATCAAACCGGAATGTCGAGGTGCTCCACGCCCCCGGGAGACGCCGAAAATTCTCGTCAATCTTCCTCTCGCAGGAAGGAAGAGTGGGAGCAGAAGATGTGCTTTCGCGATGCCTACCACTCTACTTTGATATCGCGCGCTTTAAACGACCGCTCGATAAAAAAATTTGGAACGACAGATTTTTGAATGAGGACCCCGCTCACAGTGAAATCATGCATTGTCTGACGATAAAGATATAAATGCGCGGAGGTGGCATTATTATACTCATCGCTTAATTAATCAATTAATAGTAAGCACGTATCGCATATCTCGGCCGAGATTGTACAACTGCACAAAATGTGAAACTTGAAATCGACTAACACTAGCTTTAGTACCAAAGAAATTATAGAGATTTTAACATTGACATTCGAACGCGACAGTTTCCCAGTTCGGTCTGCTGATGCAACAGTAAAAATGATATAATCACTCGCACGTGTGAAAACGTCAAATCGGATAAGTACGATCCGGATAATAAACTGAGAAGGCAGGTATTTGCACAGAAAATGTAAAATTAAAATTGGTAACGTGCATGTAGCAATCCCGATTTGGTGCTAGAAATTACGTCACGTCGGCTTTTCTTTCGCGTTAAGATATATACACAGATATAAACAGATTTAATCGTGCAATAAAACAATCTCCATGGCTTGTTAAATTTTATCGTTGTCTAAAAGCCCCCGTTTAAATGCGCGTTTAATGCGTTCACCGATGCGGTGCCTCGCGTAGCTATATGTAGAGTAATGTTTTCTGGCGACAGATAAACGGCACGCGGTCGCAGGTGGAGGACATGCGGGCGAGAGAGTAGAACAGCAATCGGCATGGCATTATCGCTTATGCAATCGAAGCTTCACATCGATTTACGTTGGTTTCAGATCGAGACGACAGCGGCGGTGGCAACAACAGCGGTAGCTGCCGCCAACCCGCTTTCCTGGCACATCCCAAGGCCGTCCTTGGTCGGGCGCAGCGAGAGGGACAGCGAAAATGGTAGCTGGGCTCATCACTTGCATCCGAACTCCCCCTCGAGAGGGTCGACGTCGTCTCAAGGATCCACCGCCAGTACACACGTAAATTTCGCTTCTTTAAACACGACTACTCGTGCAGCAATATCGAAATTGGCCTGATTTTAAATTAAATTAAAATTAAAATTAAAACTCGCTTTACGATTAACTTAAAAGCCCTGGAATTAAAATTCCAATGTAAATCCGATGAAAAGCTGCTTTATTTCGTCAAGTCCCTCGTCCGATGGACGCCAATGATGAAATTCTACGAATAATTTTAAATTACGCACAAAAGTCGCACGATAAATTTGCCAGTCGGTCCTGATATCAAAATGATAAGTCCAGCTTTCTACTTTACGTGCTTGAAGAAGTTTTGCGGCGATTGCATCGTCGCACACTTCCAGCCGCCGAGAACACTTCAACGCTCACGAACACATTGAAACATAGATGCAAAAATGTTCATAAACAGACAAAAATGTTCATAAACATCTTGATGGTGTAAACAAAAATCGCAATTCGGTTAAGGTCCCAACTTGCCTTATTTTCGCGGAATCTCAAGTTTAATTTCTTTTCGCGACGCGACGCGATGCACATTGCAGACAGTAGCATCCGACGTCCGCTGGTCACGCTGGGGACAACGATCGGCAAATAATAAGTGTGGGAAGACTCTTCTCAAAAGTTCGAGACGAGTTTTCTCGGATTTTATAATCAAATTTTCCGGTGATTACATGGTTTGCAGAGCGCCGCGTCGGGAACGTTGCTACTCACGGCCGCGAATCTCGCGAATCTCGCCGCTATACATCCGCCCACGGTGACGGCGCCGAAGCAGATAGACACCGCCTCGGTGGCCAGCAGCACCCACTTCACGGTCGTGAACGGTCTCGGCAGACCGGCCACCGTCTACAGGAAGTCCTGGTGCGCGCGAAATCAGCTCACCGTTCTCGTGTGCACCATGAGTTTTCTGTTCATGGTCGGTCTGCTCGCCGGGATCCTTTACATGGAAAGTGAGTATCTGCCGCAGCGGCAGCGGCTATTGCCACATCCATTGCATTTCAACACCGCGTGCGATCTCCGCGGATTCACCATCCACGAACTTCCTCGCTGATGTTTACCTCTGATTGCAGTGAGGGCTCGCGACAAGTACAACTAGGCCGAGGGTGAGAGCGGGAGGAGGAGGAGGAAACGGCACGTGACCATGAACGATGATCATCGTGATAGAAACGGGCAATGAAGAAAATGACTACTGCGGAGAGAACGGAGCTGGGAAAAACGTTTCCATGAAGACGAGAAAGAGAGAGAGAGAGAGAGAGAGAGAGAGAGAGAGAGAAAGAGAGAGAGAGAAAGAGAGAGAAAGAGAAAACGCAAGATCCAGTCACGATATTAATTTGACTTACTCATATTTACACGTATATGTACATCTGCGTTGTAAGCCTGTTCAGACCACTCTCGGTCCGTAGACGTTCCCGGCGGTTAGAATTTTAAGTATATATATATGTATACATACTGTATTGCACCGCGACAAACGTGTGGTACGTGAAAATCAGTAATTACATTTGTGTAATGAGCAACGTACTGTTAAGGGGTTGACGAGATCCTCGCGATGGGATACTCTTGCGTATTTATGCTGGAATTTAACGAAATTCGTCGGATTGTCCCGCGAGATACGATCCGACGAATAACATAATATATTTTATGTTAATTAACTTCTTACCGCGTAGCGCGTGTCATGTAGAGCACAAGCAAACTTTCTCTAAAATTTCTTCACTGTTTTACGTGTGTGACTTATGACACCTCTCTGCACGCCGCATATTTTTTCGCATGGAAAGATACATGTGGTAAGGGGTTACGGACGATAGTGACACACGATAGTGATCCGCGATTGCTCCAAATAAAAAGCATAACTTTTCGCGTAGCGAATAAAAACGAAAAAACTTCTCCTATTTAGTTCTCAATCGATTTATCGTTCGTAAATCGCGTGTCGACATTATCGAGAGCCGATGTAGAGAAGAGGTATACGATAAAATATCACTCGAGTGTCACTAATCCTAGTCGTCCAACGCAAATCTCGAATCTAATAGTATTTTGAATAACGAGTACCGACGGACAGTTCGAAGCAATCGACGAGATGGGACCAAGATAGTGAATATCTATTTAGGGCCTGTAATTTAATTTTTACTAACAAGCTGCCTTAATCATATCTGGATTTCCGTCGGATTGTTATTCCGGGAGCAAATGTAAACGGAAAAGCAATGAAGGGCGGTCGCGTCGATCGCTTTTCGCGTCTGTGATATTACTTGCGTATTAATCGTCGATTCAACAAGAAACTGTCAAATATAGTAAACGTCGTTTCATTTCCACCTGTCTTTTGCAGCATATTGATATAATATTCACATAACAGCTGGAGAATGATATGATATCCTGAGGTAAGCATCCTAATCTATTAGATTTCTTATTTATTTGCCACAAATTCGATATTTATTTATTTTGATATATATTTTTAATACACTGAGAAAAAAAATATTTAGATCCATTTTATTTAGATTGCTGTGCCAATAGGATATTTACCTCGATATTTACTTAATATAATACACATATTTATTTAGAATTAAATATTTTTATTTAAATTAAGTAAAAATATCTAATTCTAAATAAATATGTGTATTATATTAAGTAAACAAATTATTGACAGCAATCTAAATAAATATTTTCTTTGATCTAAATAACTTTTTCTTAGTGTATAAATATTCAATATTTTCAATTAAAAACTCAACTACTGAATAAATTAAAATAAAACTAAATGTTGTATGCTTAGGCATAAAAAATAATAGAAAATTAATATATTAAAAAATATTTCTTTAAATCTCTATTTTCCTTTAAAATTTTCTTTAAAAAGATGTTTTGGCGCCACATGTGTATTAAACGTATATAAAGTACGACATAAAGCACTTACCTCTACTTCTCCAAGAGTCTGCGTCCATCTGTAATTCGGCATGTCTGCACCGTTACCGCTGTTAGGCTTCAGCTTATTTTTCTCCTTTTCATCTTCTTCGTCCTCATCGTTGTCTTTCTTAGAATCGGTATTTTCGAACTCATCATTCTTAGCACTGTCGTTATCGCTGCTAGATCCCGCGACAGCAGAGTCATTTGCTAATTTCTGTATAACAAAAAATTATTTAATTGAGTATTATAATTTGTATAATTCAAAGAAAAATATAAAATGATTGGCCATGGAACCTAATGTATTAAATTCATAACTAAGTTCTAAATAGTATATTGTCAAAACATGTTATAAAACGCTTGCAACGCTGTTTTTGCAATCTACCTATGTGAATCTGGTATCCGACTTTGAAAAAATTAATTTTTCGATACGGAAAAAGTTAGTATTTTGTTTGTAGTAACAAAAATTTTATTTGTAGTTCAATACATTAAAAATTACAAAAAAATTTTTTAACTAACTCGCACCCGACATTGAGATATCTCAAATCCGCTTGAGACTGCACAAGTGGATTTCCGAGCGGATTTCAGATATCTCAAGAAATGGTAAAGTTATAGGTCTTGGCTATTTTGTTTAAATTGTCACTTTTGAACGGAGAGAATGTTATTCTTGTGTGGGACCAATTTGAAAGTGTGCTTTCGAGTAGAATTCTGCAATGCAACCAAGCACTTTAACACACGAATTTTGATACACGGCTTTGTACTAATTTTAATGCTACAATTTTGCACTCTAATTACTGTAAATTTTATGTAACACTGAGAATCTCAATCAAGATCGAAACGTTTAGGTATCAATCTAGATAATAGATTACCATCTTAATAATAAGTATACTACTTTTATCTGATATCTGACAATTAAATTTTTATGTTTTGACAATATACTATTTAAAACTTAGTTATGAATTTAATACAGGCTCTGTGGCCCAACAACTTTATATTTTCCCTTGAATTTGATTCAGAGCAAGCCTCTTTATCATAGTTTAATTTTAATTAATTTGTACAATGTCTTCCATATCTTAACCCTTCGCAGAACATGTGTAATTTTGCTGCTTCCGTCAAACACGTGGGTCTAGGCCAGTTAAGATTTTCAAGCTGTAATAGTGCCATAAAAAGTCTGAAAAAATTCAAGTATACTTTCGAAGACTTTAAAAATCTATTTATACCGTTATATATGTCTGATTTTTGTTTAAGTTTTTTTTATGAGTCCGTAAAGTCTCCGAAAAATTCAAAACTGAAATATCGACCGGATCTTTAAAGCCCCATTTGTTCTGCGAAGGGTTAAAGAAATCATGAAATAACATAGAATAAAAATTATGACCGATATTCATAGTCGGATCTTATATATATGTAATATAGATCTTACATATCGCCTTAAGTTCATCTTTAGATACTCCATAGCCAATAAAACGAGTCGTACAGCATCTAAAGATAAACTTGAAACAATCTTAAATATAAGATCTGATTATGAATACCGGCCTATAACAACTATTTCACTATGTAGATACCTTGTTCTCTATTTCTTCCTGTAATTTAACAGCCTGCTCGTCAGTTAATTCAACTATTCTAGAATCGTTATCTATTTTCTCTTCCTCCACTTGTTCCTCTTTTCTTTTCTTCTCGAGTCTTTCCTTACGCCTTCTCTCTTGCTCTGCTCTTTCCGCTTTTTCGGATGCAGCTTTGGCAAGAGCACCGGCTTCGTGTTTCTTGAATTTGCCCATGACAAGCTGCACATAAAGGAACAAATCTAAGTAATTTAGAACTTTTTAGAATAATAATATAAGGAAATTACTCCACGTTACTTTTCATACACGCAATTACCTTTTCAGCTGCCCCTTCGCCACCTCCGGTATAAAAGTCTGTTTTTCTCGCCAGAAAACTGAAGAAGGTGTCCAGCAACTAAAATAAAAAGAGCAAAAAAATCGTATCTTCCGGACAGTTTCGTGAAATTGCAAATATTTTATCGCGCGAGTTAACCTCAACAACCGAGAAAACGATACTTACGTCCTGCACACCGCCCTCGTGTTGCTGTGCCAATGCCAGCAACATTCCATCAAATTGGTCCTCGGTCTTCGTCATTGTTCCTCGATATTCGAGCGTGTCACAATTTACTTTGCGAAAAAAAGGCCGCGATAAATCGTTAAACGTAGTCAAACGTTCGCTAAGCGTAGCAACGGTAACGCAGCAAACGCAGCACGAACCACGCAGCTTTGTTGCTCGATTCCGACACCTGACTGACCTGACACCACGTCACAGTATCGACCGGATTCATAGAGATATAAGAATAGAGTGCGCGAGTCATATGCTCGCACGTAAGAGACTGCGATATAGGAATAGAAAGAGAACGCTGCATATGGGCCCCTGCTGTCTTTGTCTATGCACGCATGCGTCTTTGCGCTGCTCAGTGTCTATAACGCATGTAGAGATATAACCTATAATAACGCATTTATGTTCTAACCCCTTGAACCCCTTTGAAAATATATCCTTAAATAATAATTCCCAAAATTACCAAAATTATTACAGCAAAGTACATATTGTAGTATTACCATAAAATATTACTTTTTTTTTAATATGGAATTGAATATGGAATTGTATATAAATATACTCAATATATATAATAATAAAACAAAATTTATTACATGTTGTTCATACAATGTTAATCATAGAATAGAATAGAATCCTATTCAGTCTTTTATTATTTAACACAAAAATTAAATTTTTTAAACACAAAAAATAAATTCTTTTAACACAAAAATTAAATCTTTTAAATCAGTCTTATTATTTAACACAAAGAAATAAAATATAAAAAAATAAAAAAATAAAAATTTTACTACAAACAATATAATATCAAATGCACATTATTAAATATTTATAAAAATATACAGTTTTGCTATTGTCCACTGAAAATCGTGAGCTTATTATTTTGCATTCGTATTCTTTGAAATCACGAGATAAAACATCGAGAATACCGAGGTACAATCTTTCATGACCTGCACATCACTGCACATGCGCGCATAGACAAAGACAGCAGGGGCCCATATGCAGCGTTCTCTTTCTATTCCTCTATCGCCTTTTCAGCTCGCTTGCGCACTCTATTCTTATATCTCTATGACCGGATTGAAACGACGCGACCAACTGAGCGATACCGGTAACGTACTCTGACGACAGAGCAGCAGAAACAGTTTCGAGTCAGTTATCGATAGTCAATATATTTTTAAATGTAATTCGATCTTTTAAATTTTTATTTTAGAAAACAGAATAATTGCAACATTGCAAGAAGCAATTCTTGAATATTATCTTGAATAAAAAAGATAATTGCAAGAGATGATTCCTGAATATATCTTGAATAAAAAACGATAATTGCAAGAGGTAATTCTATAAAAATAACTGCATTTATCTTCGATATAATGTTCGTTACTAAATATTTTAAATGTTCTTATATTAATACATGCTTTCGTGTTCAGCATTCTTTTACAAGATTGTTTTCATTCAGAAAGATTTTATCATATTTATCGATTTTTACAGTATTATCGTATTATTGATTATTTTTTTGTATAATAAAATTTTACCGTAAACCCAGGTAGAACAAAAAGTCACAATGAAGTAAAAATGATGTTAAAATCATGGCAAAATGGACTAAAAATCGTCATTTTGCCTTCATTCCGGTTTTATTGTGACTTCCTGTTCCACTGGAAACTGGTGCGTGAATTTTATGGCACGCATTACGTTGTAAATATTACAAATATTCCCTGGGTTCCGTAAAGCGCATATGCACGCATTTTATATAGTAAACGTTACGTATGCTATAGATAAATGCGCCCATATGCGCTTTTACGGAACCCAGGGTTTGACATTCACGTTAATGGAATAATTATTACGTAATCTAGACGTAATAAAATTTGTATAAATTCCGTCATATTCTAAATTTCATATATTAAAAAAATTATTATTAAACATAATCAAATTAATCTCGTTGTACTCCACTTGATGCTCTAAAATTGAATTCTACCTTAATTAAATTATCTATATAATATTATACTATGCTTCCGTAGTCACCGTACATTTAACTAAACTACAATGCTTCCATTAAAAAAAAATCACTTTACCACACTGAGCGTCACGTCTACTTCGAAAATCATTTATAATAGATTATTATTATATACATTCCTATTTTCTTTTTTCTTCTGGCAATAAGTATTGATTAAATTTTTATAAATGTCGTTGTAATAAAGAATAAAGAATAAAATATCTCCCTCCCGGGAGATAAATAAGGGAGGGTCCTATTGTAATTGAATAAATATTTATTACAATATTTTTTAACTCACAAGCCCGTGACTTGTTACGGGATTTTTCGTGCCGATCACATTTCGCCGAAATCAGATAAAGGGCGCGCGGGTTGATTTTA